CCCCCCCCCCCCCCCCTATACTATTGAGGTGACTCAAATCTGTCTGAAGGTCAAAATCGAGGATGTGCACTGTGCATAAGGGATTTCTGAGATTATCTTCAATATTCTTTTAAGTAGTTAATTAATTGTAGTAATTTTGGGGTTAACACCTATTTAGGCCGATCCATATGGAGCATTATGATTTTGTTACTAGCTTTTTGTCATTTTGTATCTGACATACTTTTGCAATGATTTATTTCCCCTTTGATAGTTATAATTGCAGATGATTTTGTCTATAGAAGATGAGGGATGCATTTATGAGTCTAGATCGTTTAGCTAAGCATTTCCTAATAATCATGGAAATCATGTTATGAGTTGGATTAGAAAAATGTCCAATTTTCCTAAAGCTTAGAAATAAATTGAAATGGTTTCCTTATTTGATTCCAAGAAACGGAAAACTGAGTGGGAACTGTTTACTAGTAAGTATGGAACTTAAACTTATCCACTGAATATGTTAATTTGCAGCCTCAGTCTCTGCAAAATGGCATATGAGTTCAGTGATGTTGCTCAAAGCTTGTGAGGCTCCATGTTGAACCAAGCTGTATCCTACAAAAAATTTTGTATGGTGTTGTTTTCATATTTAGGCTTGGATTTGTTTTATTTGTTTTCTCTAACAGAAACCCTAATGCATTTGCCAAACTAGGATGATATATCATTCTCGCTTGCATCCCATTTTTATTTTCCAAATTAGCCTGATCATGAGTTAGTATGATGAAACAATAAGAAGATAAGAAAATAAATAATGGTGATAATTAATGATAGGGCCGTGGGAAAGGCTCTATACGCCTCATTATTGTGATTAAACTCCGTGCCATTGAAGGGAATCAAAAGGCTAATTGCTATTAAAGGTCATGCCTAGAAGTGGTTGCAACTAATAAGATACACCTTTGGTCTGAAACACCTATCTGAGACACATTTGTCAAGGTACAATTTGGAAGAGTAAACCTTGGATCAGTTATAAATGTGTCAAAATGAAAGAGTAGAGAGGTTCATATATACACTGGCTTCACAAGGCTCTTATGTACTACACACTGGATGTTTGCTCTGACACCATTTGTGATGTTATTTACTTGGTTCTTCTTATCTTCAGTTCATATTGAATGCTTAGTGGTTATCTTGTAGGTCAATGATGCTTTAAAAATCTGAACGGTAGGTAGTTAAATAGTTAACATATATAAAATATTTGTCTATGAAATTAGAATGTTGAAGTGGATATGTCTAAAATTAGAAGAAGATAGAAACTAACGAGTCATTGTAGAAGTTATGAATTTGTGCAAAAATGAGAAAGACCTATGGATGTTTAAGATGCTATGTTTAAGGAATAAAATGAGAAAGAATTACGTAAATGATATGAAAATGTGCTAAGAGAATTAGTATACATGATACAAGAAGGTAGAAGAGACGTGAACATTTTACTGGAGGGTATAAATAAAAATCTTTAATGCTCTTAATTCACTTAAAATATATCTTTTATGGAGTCGATGATAAAAGATCGACTCCAAATAATTGAAACATCATGTTCTTAGCTAATTATAAAGGGGCTGAAATTTTTGGTTGATACTGTTAAGCAACATTTTTTTTTCTTTCAACAAACCTGAGAATGTTATATGCAGCTTTGATGCATAAATTTACTCCACATATCTGTTGAAAGTTAAACTTCAACCACAGCAACATATTAATCTCACTAGTATTTACCTCTTTATCTCACGTGTTTCTTCTTTAATGTTTCTGCAGGATTTTACTGGGCAGTGTATCGAGCTATGTTCTGTCACATGCACCATGCCCTGTTACTGTTGTCAAAGATACAAACCTCAAGCGTTGATGCGTCCGCTGCCCTAATAAATTCATACAGTGCAAAAAGGTTTGAGAGTGAACAGCCCCACGATGACATGGTGAATTTCTAGTTACTACTATGAACCTGCGATTGTGTGAGACGTGTGCAAAGACTTGGAAACCATCTTATAGTGCTTTATATGTTTGCGACCAAAAACTTCTCGAGAATAAATTATAAGCAGTGTGAGTCCGTTGGATCTCCTTTATTGATCGTCTTCTTATTGCTGTATTTTATCTCAAATGGTATCTTATGCTGTGCTATTTCGTTGTTTCTGTCTCCACAGAAGAAATATATTATTTTTAAAAAATATTAACTAGTCTAGCTGATAAAAATTTGGACAGTTTATCATAAGTCCTTTGGGTATTCATCACTTACTCTTTGTAAAGATTCATCATCTTTAAGATTTACATCAAATTGCTTCTGTTGTTTTCTAGCTCATATTTTTCATATGGAGTACACTGTGGCAGCACATAACAATTTATTATAATTATATTATTATAATCATTTCTGGAAGCTTGTTAATTTAATTGCAAGGCAATTGTAAACCTTACAATAATATATATTTTTTTGCTACACCTGACAAGTGTTGCAATCATAGATTGCTAATGATTAGTATTAGTTGAAAGGGTTAATAATTGAAGGCCGAGACGCTCTCCAAGTATCTTTTAATCACAATCATTGAAAGGGTTAATGATCAGCGTTAGTATTAGGAATGGACGGCTGAGATGTACGAAGTGGAGGGTTACACTTGATTAGAGAACTTGGACAGGATCCGCGCAAAATAAGCTTACTGTTCTTGATGGCCGACAACATACGGCATCTCCAACGAACTCTCTCCCTTGCTTGCCTTCGAAGCTCCGTTCTCTCGCTCGCCATGGAGGAGGAGGAGGAGGAGGACGAGATCCACGAGCACGCGACCCGGAGCCCGCCGAGCACCGGCCTTGATGCAGGCGGCGGGGAGACGAGCATCGACATCACGGCGCTGGACGGCATCGTGAACGTGAACGCCATCTTAACCCTCGCCATCTTCGTCGGCCTCGCCTGGAACCCCTCCTCCTCCGGCGCCGGCGACGAAGGACTCTCACCGCCCATCTGCGTCGCCGGGGCGCAGGTGGAGAAGGACCTCGTCTCCTTCCATGTCTTCGCCTTCGCCTCCTTCCTCTTCTCCAGCCTCGTGGCCCTCTGCCTCAAGCAAGCCGTCCACCTCGCCGGCCCGCACGGCCGGTCGGCGCGAGTCAACAGGGCGCTCCTGCGCGCCGGGATCGTCGCCTCCGCCGTCGGCTCCGTGTTCGGGTGCGGGTTCCTGATGCTGGCCCTCGTCAACGTGGTCCAGATCAAGCTGGGGACGCTGGGGTGCAGCGGCCCCGCCCTGGGCGCCGTAGTGCCGCTCGTCACCCTCATCCCCGCCGCCATGCTCATCTACTCCGCCATCGTCTTCTACGCCTTCACTCGCTGAACTCGTCCAATCCACTCACAAACCATTTCGAGTACTACGATTTGGATCGATCAGGTTCGTGCATTCACTCGTTACTCTCTACCATCCACTTCGTAAAAACCACCAGAAGCTGGCGACGGAATTATTATGTAGGTCATGATCTGTTCATCGCTCTTTCTACTTCTGCTCTTTATTATCCGGTGATTGAATTATTACGATTTGACTGATCGATTAGAATTCTCATCACCATCACATGTATCAGAAAAGACAGAGCACACTGCACGATTCATGGTGTTCACAAGAAGCATGGGCAGGAGACATGGTAATTCAAACATTATATATTCTTAAAGCAACTGATAGGTTAACTCTTTAACTTGTTCTGATCCAAATGGTAGCATGGTAGCACACTTTGTTTGATAGGAAACGTCAGTAGTAAAGTGAACCTGAACGATCAAAAAAATAGAAGAAAAAAATCACAGAATATATATATATATATATATATAT